GGCCCCGTCGGGCCAACTCGAGTCCTCCCCAACTCGAGCCTGGCGCCCGCCCGATATTATTGGACAAGAAGTTGTCTTGCCATGAGAACTCTCGGGGCGTGTTTTCGTCGTCGAGTCTTGCGCCTCCGGAGGTGCCCCGGGACTTGTGTGGGTCCCTGGGGCCATCGTGGGATAATCGGCTCCACCCCAAGGTTGAACGCCGCCGGCGACCCAGAATCGGTCGTGACGTTTGGGAAACGGCCGATCGTTCAAGACTGAACGACCCCCCCGGTGTCATGAAGCACCGCCGGGGCCGTCACGACACGAACCTGCCGTACTACTACTACTACGTGTGCGGCGCCCCCCCAGAGGCGACGCGCGCGCCCGGAGGCCTTACGGCGTGAGCGCTGTGGCGGGCGCTTTCTGGCCATGCCGCTCGGTAAGCGATACGCTACCAGACTGCTGTACTGTTTGAGCTCGGGCCGGGCGCGCGCCTCCAAGGAGGACGCATCGTACTGGTACGTCCTTTGGAACTACAGCCTGCCCGCCGGCGACGGGAATGCGCCAGCCAGCAAGCGGGGAGGAGGAAGAGGACGGGGGGAAAGGGAAGGGGAGGAGGAAGGGAAGGATGAGGATGGAGGAGGAGGAGGAGGAGGAGGAGGAGGAGGAGGAGGAGGAGGAGGAGGAGGAGGAGGATTTCCAGGATTTCCGCCATCACGTAGTGATAACCAGGCTAAAATGCTCAGCACTTCGGAAACAGGCCGCGATTAATCCTGTCAAGGTACTCGCGCCTGGCCTTCGAAATCGGCAGCTTGCACGGTTCTCCCAGGCCTCTGAGCTGAGCCTGGCCGAAGAACCCACACGTGCGGCAAAACCAGATTTTAAGGTCTTTATGATAGGTCAAGGCGTGTGAGGGATGAGTCCAGCCACCAGCTAAGTGTAAACGCCGTCCCCTAGGAACACGACAAAGCTCACTGCTGTCATGCTGGAGTTGGAAGCATTCACTTTTTAGCCATTCGGACACAACAGTTTTGGTCGCGGAGCCTTTACACACGCTACACGCCCGCCCGTTTTCGGTCAGGGTATGTGCGGACGCGAAGCGTGCAAGAGCTAAAGGAGGAGGAGGGGGAGGAGGGGGAGGGACTCTACCAGCACCTCGCACTCTCTGGGCACCAGAAAGCTGAGACGCTCGAATGGAGTCTAAGCCGAGGAGGAGGATGAGGAGGGGGAGGGGGAGGGGGAGGAGGAGGAGGAGGAGGGACACTACCACTGCGCCGAGTCCCTGTCGACTCGCAGAACTGACTGGGCGAAGCAGTCCTGGGTCCCGCCACGGCATTGCTGCCGAGGGGCACCTGCTGGCAGGCCCGGCCCTCCTCGGATGTGCGCACATCGTCGATTCCCCAGGAAAATATGGGAACATATGGGAAGTGGGGGGGAAGACAGAAGCCCAGAAGATGTGGGGAATTTCCTGTCCTTTGTGCCTATTTAGCTGTGTGTCCCAGGGCCCCTTCGTGCTGGCAGGCCCGGCCCTCCTCGGACGTGCGCGCGCTGCCCGGCGGCGGCCTCCGCGCCGCGCGGGGCGCGGGGCGGCGGCCCCAGCGCGGGCGGTGGAGGCCGAGGGTGCCGCCCGCGGGCCCGGCAGCGGTCGGCGTCGCGCGAGTTGCCGCTGCGCGAGGTCGCGATTGCGCTCAAGGCTCAAGCCGGGCCTGTCCCTCTGCAGGAGGAATGCCCCCAAATAGTCAAAGGCAGCCAGGGAACGCTTCTTGGATCATGTCTGATCATTCTCGAGCGATTGTTGCCTATGTTTCAACTTTCGTCCGACATCCACCTGTAGGAGGCCATGTCCGACCTAGCTCAAGGCGGGAAGCCGCGATCGCTCAAGGCGGGACGATGCACGTGGGCGTCAGAAATCGGCGGCGAGAGGGGTGAAGTGAGAAGGAGGAGGCCCTCTCAGAAGGCGGCGGGGCTTCTCAGGAGCTTTCGCGCGCTCTCAGAAGGCTTTTGTGCTCTTGGGGGAGGTTCAGAACACTTCTCCCAAAGCTGGGGGACGTCCGAGCCTTCCGAGAAGGCCCGCCCCTTCTCACTTCCCCGCCAGGCGCGGTGCCGAGTGGTGTCAGAAAGCCCTGCCGAATTCGTCACGGCACGATCCAGCCCTGCCTGTCTGCAGACAATATTTCTGCGGCGCTCCCATGGGGGAAGGCAGAGGGGTGCGGGCCTTCTCAGAAGGCTCGGGAGGCCTGTGGCCTTTGAGAACCTGTATCAGCTTAGCTTCCCAGAAGCTTAGGAACCTTGTAAACTTCCCAGAAACATAAACTTTCTAAGCTCTGAGGCCACGGAGGGCTTCCCAGCAGCAGGGCTCGTGAGAAACCCGCCGCCAGCGCCAATTTTTCCCACATGTTTCGTGGGGTTCTGGTTTTCTTTCCTGCCGCGTCGCACCTGCGAGGCTCATTCACCTCCCCTCCTCCTCCTCCTCCTCCTCCTCCTCCTCCTCCTCCTCCTCCTCCTCCTCCTTCTCCTTCTCACACAGCACAGCGCACCACAGCGCAACAGAGCACAGCACAGCACAGCACAGCACAGCTCAGCACAGCACAGCACACACCACATTGACACACAGCACGTACACAGCACAGCACAGCACTGTTCAGCACAGTTCAGCTCAGCTCAGCTCAGCACAACACAGCACAGCACAACACAGCCCATCTCAGCACAGCACAGCTCAGCACAGCACTGCACAGCACAGCACAAAACTTCAGCTCTGCACAGCACAGCACGGCACCTCTGGACACCATAAAGGGGGTGCGCAAGGGGGGGGTCTCTGAGCGCGGCCGCTATCCACGACACTGTCGCAAAACCTAGCAGGCGTGGCACTTTCTGGACACCGTAATTAGGGGGTGCGCAGGGGGTGGCCTCTGAGCGCGGCCGCTATCCACGACACTGCTGCAAAGCCTAGCAGGAGTGGCCGTTTTCTGGACACCATGGAAGGGAGTGCGCAGGGGGGGGGTTCTCAGCGCGGTCGCTATCCACGACACTGTCGCAAAGCCTAGCAGGCGTGGCACTTTCTGGACACCATACGGGGTGCGCAGGGGGTGGTCTCTCAGCGCGGCCGCTATCCACGACACCGTCGCAAAACCTAGCAGGCGTGGCACTTTCTGGACACCGTAGGGGGTGCGCAGGGGGTGGTCTCTCAGCGCGGCCGCTATCCACGACACTGTCGCAAGGCCTGGCAGGCGTGGCACTTTCTGGGCACCATAGGGGGTGCGCAGGGGGGGCGTCCCTCAGCGCGGCCGCTATCCACGACACTGTCGCAGCGCCTCGCAGGCGTGGCATTTTCTAGACACCATAACGGGGGTGTGCAGGGGGGGGTCTCTCAGCGCGGCCGCTATCCACGACACTGTCGCAAAGCCTAGCAGGCGTGTCTGGGCAAAGCGCTGGCAGCGCGGCCGCTATCCACGACACTGTCGCAAAGCCTGGCAGGCGTGGCACTTTCTAGACACCATAAGGTGGTGCGCAGGGGGTGGTCTCTCAGCGCGGCCGCCATCCACGACACAGTCGCAACGCCTAACAGTCGTGGCACTTTCTGGACACCATACGGGGTGCGCCGGGGGTGGTCTCTGAGCGCGGCCGCTATCCACGACACTGTCGCAAAGCCTAGCAAGCGTGGCAATTTCTGGACACCGTAGGGGGTGCGCAGGGTGTGGTCTCTCAGCGCGGCCGCCATCCACGACATTTTCGCAAAGCCGCAGACGTGGCACTTTCTGGACACCGTAGGGGGTGCGCAGGGGGTTTTCTCAGCGCGGCCGCTATCCACGGCATTGCCGCAAAGCCCAGCAGGCGTGGCACTTTCTGGACGCCACAGGGGTTGCGCTGGGGTTGCGGTCGTTATCCGTTTCGGGCTCGCAACGTGTGGCAGGTGTGGTACCTTCTCGATGCCACATGAGGTGCGCTGGGGGTGCGGTCGCTATCCGTTTTGGCCTCGCAAAGTGTGGCAGTTCTTCGACGCCACAGGGGGTGCGTTGGGGGTGCGGTCGCTATCCGTTCCGGCCTCGCAATGCGTGACAGGCGTGGCACCTTCTCGACGCCATAGGGGGGTGCGCTGGGGGTGTGGTCGCTGTCAGTTTCGGGCTCGCAAAGCGTGGCAGGCGCGGCAACTTCTCGACACCGAAGGGAGTGCGCTGGGGGTGCGGTCGCTATCCGTTGTGGGCCCGCAAAACGTGGCAGGCGTGACACTTCTTCGACGCCACAGGGGGTGCGCTGGTGTGGCAGGCGTTGCACTGCCTCGACGCCGCAGGGGGTGCCTTGGGGGTGCGGTCGCTACCCGCTTCGGGCTCGCAAAGTGTGGCGGGCGCGGCGCTTCTCCTCTCCACCTCTCCTCTTGAGTGGCGTCACCAACGGTATCGGCGGAGCAACGGCCACCAGCATCATTCTCACATGCTTCACTTCAGCTATCATCACTCCAGCCATGATATAAGTATGTGGGGTTCTTCGGTAGCGTAATTTACACACCGCCGGCGCCGATATTATTTCGCAAAGCGGGTGCGTCGCGGGCGGGTCGCGGGCGAGGACGACGGCAACAACGCAGCGCAACAGCAATGCGCACCGCGGAACCTCACTCCAGCCACGCGCCCAGGGACTGACCGTTCGGCCCCCTCACTCGGATGGTATTCCTATCCCTATGACTGGCATCACTTTGTTTCGGCGCCGATGTTAATGATTCCGTCAGTTTCTGAAGGCACATCTTTTGGATTACAATTGCCTTCGGCTTGTCAAGCGGGGGGCGTAGGCACAAACTCGACTCGGCTTAAGGCTGGGGTCAGGCACGCCTCTGACAGCACACCGATCAGTGCCAAGCGCTGGCCTGGAGCATGGCATCGGGTCTGTGGGTTCAGATCTTGACGACGCAGATGCCGCATGGTGCCGCGCCGGGCAGGAGGAGCGGCGAGGTGCATTTGGCCTCGCGCCTTGCCTGTGCCTTTGCCGCACTGTCGTTCCCGCGCGGGCCGATGTCATGCGCGAGCTGGTCCAGCCATCGCTGCTCAAGCGCCGTGTCCTGACATGGCGGCCCGGGGGTGATGCTTGCTGCGCTCGCTGGCTCTATCTCAGGGTAGCGGAAAGCGTAAGGACATTGATGCTCGCGACCCCTTTCGGGATGAAGGGGGGTGAAACGGGAGTGAACGAGGGGGGATGTCCGAGGGATCGGGAAACCGTGTCTCAATTTCACAGCGCTTTTTGCTGCCATGTTTATCGTCTGACGCCGTCTTGTGTGGAACGCGCTGCTGGGATGCTGCTCTCTGACGAGGACCTGCCTGGGCACATTGGCTTGCCCTTGCACTCTTCCGTAAATTTTGCAATCGGTGTCGTTGTTATACATGTCTTGTATCCCTGCGAGTGCATCCCTCTTCTGCCATCTAGCTTGTCTTCCTCTTTCCCAGTTTGTAGTATCCGCGTCTTCCCATCAATCTGTTGTTGCCTGCTTAATCGGAGCTCGTGCCACCCTTGCACCCAATTTGCCATCGGCCGGAACACGTTTCTGCTCCTCTCGCAGAACACAACACCGGAATCCATGTAACAAAGTAGTGGGCGACCTAGTGGGCGTCTGATTAGCTCTGAGGAAAACCCTGGAGTGGCAAATGGCGTTTCTCTTAGGGTTCGCAAAGATGCTTAAATTGAATATCCAGAGACACTCCCAATGGGGGTCCTGGCAGCTGCCGTTGCGGTGCTGCTCTATTGAGTAGGACGCCCTCTGGGCGGCCGTGCAACAACTACCCTTTGCTTTTAGTCGCGTGTTGTGGGGCCAGATCACATGAACCCCATGTTTTTTCAGCAAACTTGCCAGCACTTGTTCCAAATTTGGGAGCCTTCCAGGAGCCTGCCAGGAGCCCTTCGGGAGCATCTCAGCAGTTTCTCAGGAGCCTCTCAGGAGCCTTTTCATGACCGTCTCAGGACCCTCTCAGACCCTCTCTCTCAGGACTGTCTCTGACCTTCCTACCAGCCTTTCACCAGCCTCTCAAGAGCCCCTCATGAGCCTCTCAAGAGACTCTCAGGAGCCTCTCAGGAGCTTCTCAGGAGCCGCCCAGGACAACTCCAACAGTTTCTGGATGTCATCCGAAGGGCTTCTGAAGAGTCCCTCAAGAGTCTGTCAAGTGCATCTCAGCAGCCTCAGGGGCTTCCCCAGAGAAATTCCCAGGACCCTTCCAGTAGCCTCCCAACAGTCCGTCAAGAGCTTCTCATGCGCCTCTCACGACCCTCTCAGGAGCCTCTTCAGGAGTCTCATCATGACCCTTTCAGGGCGTCTGGGGCCCTCTCATACCATCTCAGCATCCTCTTTCTTCCTCGTCGCCGTTGTCGCCTTCGGCCTCTTACTCATCATCCTATTCCTCCAGTCTCTCTTTTCCCTCCTTTCCTCCCTTCCTAAACCGTCCCACTCTCCTTCTCATTTGTAATTGATATGCCGCATACCTACATCATCCGAGCCGTGCAGTTTAGCATGTAACGCGCCATGCCGTTGAGCATGCAATGCGCCGTGCCGTAGAGCATGTAACGCGCCCTGCCGTTGATGTCAGGGCTGGGAAGCACTGTGGAGTGTCCAGACGCGATTGCTTGCACTGACCTCTGGCCCTTTTGCATCCTGACGTGTTTGCCTTGGAGGGTCTTGGGCTTGTAGGCCGTTTCGCGCCCGAAATACGCTCGCGGCGGACCGGCCCATCGGAACTGCATGGGAGGTTCTCGTCGTGTCGACTGGCGGCGACCCCGCCGCCGGAGTTCAACGTTGAACGCCGTGGGCAACCCAGAATCGGTCTACATTGAACGATCTGACGTTTCGGAAACGACCGATCGTTCAAGGTTGAACGATCCCCGCGGTGTCAGAAACCAAAGCCCGAAGTCTGCACGATACGTGCCTGCCGTACGTATGTTTTCCATGCGGGGGCTTGGGGACAAAGACTTCATTCCCGAGCTCCATGTTGCCTCGCGTTGCTACCTGTTGAGCTCACCCAGTGGCTCGCGTGGCGAGGTGCTGAGCTCACCGTGGAATTAAGCAATACTGTTTTTCATTTCCTTTGCCAGTTTTGGCTCAAGTTTACATTTCTGCATATCTGCAGGCAGAAATCCTATTCACCTCATGGGAAATAAAGGCTTCGACGCATACCAGGAGGTCAGAAACGTGTTAATTCGAGATCAACCTTCGTGTAAAGAGCACGTGATTATAGTTCGCATCATTTCCCTTCCTCCCACCCTCTTTGCCTCCCTCTCTCCCCCCCCCGCCCTTCTCCATCCCTCCCCTCTTGGCTCCTCCTTCCTCCCTTCTTCCCTCCTTCTTGTCAAGTATACCCTTGCCGCGGGCCAGTAGGCGTCGAGCGAGGGCGCAGTTTTCTTTTCGTCGTCGTGGTGCCCTTCGAGCGAAGCGACCAATGCGCAGCCCGATCCCCGATCCTCCTTTCTTCCCCCTCCCTCCTCTTTTCCTCCTCCCTCCTTTGTTCCTCTTTTCCTCCTCCTCTCCTTCCACCGCCCTTCTGTTGTCCTTCTCGTCGCGATCTTTGGCCGAAAAGCTGGTTAATCAATCCACGTGGGCATATATTGAACAGACCCCTTGGCGTCTCCCTGTGATTGTTCGGTCCCTGTGCCTTGTCGGAGGACTTTTTGGGGCTGATGTTCCTCTTGGGGGTAGGTCGGGGTCTGTTAGGTCCTCGTAGTGATACATTTTTGTTTTTTTGTTGCGGTGTGGTGGGCTCACCATGGAGCGTTTTGTAGCGGCCCAGGCTCGTTTTGCAGCACCTCGGGGCCGTCCTTGGGTGTGGAAAGCGCCCGGAAGCAAGCGTCGCAGGCGATGTTTCTATCCCAGCCCCCGACTTTTCGACGAAAAATGGAGGGGCTCAGAAAGGAGGGAAACCCTGGGATACACCCCCAGGGGGCTATTCGGACGCACCCCTATCGGGGACGGTCGCCCCCCCTCGTATATCCCAGGGTTGGGCCCCAATTCTTTTTTTGGTCCGTTCGAAAACCCCTCGAAGCCTGGGACAGGGGTCGACATATATCCCCTGTTCAAGCGCAGTGGGGTGCAGCAGCGGGGCCACCCTCAGAGTGCCACGGAAGCCCCTCGGGCATCCCGCGGGCCTTCCTTCCTGTGCCCCAGCCTGCCGAGAATGATGACGGGGGGCGACGGCCACGGCCACGGCCACAGCGACGACGACGACGCTGGCGGCGGTGGTGGTGGCGGTGGTGGTGGTGATGATGGGAAAGGCGGTGGTGATAATCATGATGATGATCTGATGCTGTCGACATGCTGCTGCTGCTGCTGCTGATGGCGAGGAGGAGGAGGAGGAGGAGGAGGAGGAGGAGGAGGAAGAGGATGATGATGCTGACGATGCTGATGCTGACGATGCTGATGATGATGCTGAGGATGCTGATGATGATTCTGATGATGCTGCGAATGATGCGGATGATGATGATGATAATGATGATGATGATGATGATGATGATGATGATGATGATGATGATGATGATGATGATGATGATGATTATGCTGATGATGATGATGCTGATGATAATGATGATGATGATGATGATGATGCTGCGGATGATGATGATGCTGAAACTGATGCTGCTGCTGATGATGATGATGGTGGTGGTGATGATGATGATTATGATGATGATGATGATGATGATGATGATGATGATGATGATGATGATGATGATGATGATGATGATGATGATGATGATGATGATGATGATGATGATGATGATGATGATGATGATGATGATGATGATGATGATGATGATGATGATGATGATGATGGGTGAGGAGGAGGAGGAGAAGGAGGAGGAGAAGGAGGAAGAGGAGGAGGAGGAGGAGGAGGAGGAGGAGGAGGAGGAGGAAAAGGGCGAGGAGAAGGACGATGGTGATGGCGATGGCGATGGCGATGCTGATCACCGGGAAGTGGAAGGAGGCCCAGCCCATCGGGCGGGTGGTAATGGGGGTTGGCCAAGATGGGGGGTGAAACAAGGGCCCTGAAGGGGCCCTTTAGGGTTCCTTTTGGGCCCCTGCTGGCTCCCAAAGGGTCCCCTAAGGGACCCTTTGGGGGTCCCTCCTTCACCCCGCGGGGGCCACCCTCCATTGCCACCCGCCCGAGCCGCGCAGTTCCCAGGCTGGCTCTGACGACAATCTGTTCCGCCGCCCCCCCCCTTCCCCTGGAGGAGAGTCTCCTCTCTGGCTTCAGTCCGGGACACCCGGGACACCCGGGACACCCAGGACACCCGGAGCACCCGGGACACCCGGGACACCCGGGACACCTGGGACACCGAGCACCCGGGACACCCGGGACACCCGGGACACCCGGGACACCCGGAGCTCCTGGAGCACCCGGGACACCCAGGACACCCGGGACACCCGGAACACCCGGGACATTTGGAAACCCGGAGCACCCGGAGCACCTGGGACACCGGGAACACCTAGAGCCCCAGCACGCGCGGAGCCAGAGCGCGGAGCCACAACACCCGCCGTTTGCTGCTGCCGCGGCGTACACCCACCCACACAATGGGGAGAGAGGGGGGAAGCGTTCTGTACACAATGCCTATTCCGAGAGCCCGACAGCCGGTTTCGGCTGGCTGTGAGGCATGCCACCTGTTTGGCGCCTCCTTCGTGCGCTCCTGGAACTCTCCGGGTCCCCCCAGGGTCGCGCCCATATTGTCGATATTGTAGCCGGAGCGATGGTTGTTAATCTGATGCCACTGGGCAGGCGTATTTTCCCGACGGGTGCGTGGCAGATATAGAGGGCAGCGCTCCGGCGCTCCAGCAGGAGGGGTCCCTCCCTCCTTGCTGCGTGCTTGCGGTTGGGCTGGGGAGGGAACTTGAAAAGGTTCAATCTCTAGCTGCGGGAGAAAGAGCTTGAAAAGGTTCACTCTTCCGCTTTGTGATCGGACTGGAGAGGGAACTTGAAAAGGTTCACTCCTCAGTCGCGGAAAAGGGAGCTTGCAAAAGTTCACTTTCCCGCTTGCGTCTGAACTGAAGAGGGAACTTGAAAAGGGTTCACTCTCCAGGCGTGGGAAAAGCAGCTTAAAAAGGTCCACTTTCCCCCTTGTATTGGGTCTGGAAAGGGAACTTGAAAAGAAAAGGTTCACTTTCCCCCTTCTACTGGGTCTGGAGAGGGAACTTGAAAAGGTTCACTCTCTAGCAGCGGGAAAGGGAGCTTGCAAAGGTTCGCTTTCCCGATTGCGTTTGAACTGGAGAGGGAGCTTGAAAAGGTTCACTCTCCAGGCGTTGGAAAGAGAGCTTGCAAAGGCCCCGAGGCCTCCGCCGAATCAGCCTACAGGGTGATGGAGGATGAGATGAGGTGTTTCGACGGCTTGGGCCCTTCTGGAGCCTCGGGGGTCCTCCGGAGTCAGCCGTGGACTCCTCAGATGACTCCCCGGAGACCTCCGAAAACGCCAACACTAGAAAACACAAAATCTGGAAACTCAGAAACGATGACGCCCTACAATCATGCCCCCCAGACACCCAGAGCACCTGGAGCACCCAGAACATTTGGAACACCCAGAACACCTGGAACATCCGGAGCACCCAGAGCACCCAGAACAAGACATCCGGAACACCTGGAACACCCGGACCCGGAACACCCGGAGCACCCGGAACTTCCAGACCCGGAACACTCGGAACACCCTCCAACACCCGGACCTGGAACATCCGGGAACACCCGGAACTCCCAGAGCACCCGGGACACCCGGACCCGGAACACCTGGGACACCCGGGAGCACACGCGGCCGCAGGGAGGACTGGTATGTCCCCCGCCCTGCGGAAGGGCCGGCCCCTCCCCCACCCCGGGGCTCGGGATCGAGGGGAGGAAGTGCACGTACATGAATCCACGTTGGTTCCGAGACGCTCGTTGGAAGTGGTACTTTTGGATTCCCAGATCCCAGTCTACTTCAAGCGCCTTCCTACCTCAAGACTCGCTATACGTTTGCTGTTCCTTGTGTGATTCTCTGGGCGGGTCCGAGCCCAATCCACTTTATCCGCCTTCCTACTTCATGATTCTACCTACTTCTTCCGACCGTTCGTATAACGAGGCTGGTTTCGCGGACTGGGGGGCCGTGCTCATGCACGCGGTCGGGCGCGTGCGTCCTTTGTTGGCTCCCGAAGGACGGCTCCGCCGAGCGCCAGCGCACCGAGCGCTACCACGGTCTCGCAAACAGCAAGCGGCGCGCCGCGCTGGGTGGGCACGTCGCGCAGGAGCGCCGCCTCGCCCACCCCTCTACTCCTTCCTTTTCTCTCCTGTCCTCGTCCTCGCCATCTTGCTCCAAATCCTCCTCTCCTCTTTCCCCCTTTCCCCTTCTCCTCCCCTTTCTTTCTTCCGCCTCCTCCACTTCCTCGTCCTCCCACTCATATTTGTACTTGTCATCCCGTCCTCATCTTCTGTCTTCTCATCGTCCTCTTCCTTCTCCGCCTCATCCTTGTATTCCCCTTCTTTTTCAAAGTCCTTGCTTCCCCCTGCTCTGCTGGGTTCGGGGCTGGATGGTGGAGGGTCTCGCGCCAGTTCCTTCATCGTACATCCCTGTTCCCGTCCTCATCCTCGTCGTCACCTTCATCCTCGTCTTAATCCTCAATGCGTGCGTACATGGGTAGACGTGTGGTGGGTACATGTGCGGATGGAACCCAATGCTGGTCGAGCGAATGCTTCTATGCTTTAGGTCTATTAGGGCCGAGGGTGGAGGAATGGAGGACGTAGGGTGAGGAGGGACAATGACTAGGGACGAGGTGGGGGAGGGGAGGATGGGGGGAGGGAGGCGGAGGAGGAGGATCATGGTGGGGAGCGAAGAAAAGCGATGCGGAGGCAGGATTAAGATACGGAGGAAGCGGGCGGGGGGGGAGGGGGCGTGGGTGGGGCACGGGGGTAGGTGGGAGGGAGGGCGAGTAATCATGATCAGGAAAACAGTGATGAAGAGATGATGAAGAGGGCGGATGATGAGGAGGATACTGATGAGGAGGATGATGAGGGGGGAGGAGGCTGAGGAACGAGGACGAGGGAGGAGGGAGTAGTGATGATTGTGAGGATGGGGATGAGGAGGATCGAGATGCATCTGGGCACCATGCAGAGAGGACAAACAACGGTGCACCACCAGGTCATTCGGACTTCGTCCCATTGTTTCCCGTCGTCGTGCGGCTAAGGCTAAGTTATCCAATGTGATCTGAATTCCTGTTCGGTGCCCTCCGCGCTCTTAGGATCTCAACCGAGACTTACTCACGCCACCGTGAGTAGCTCGAGTTTCCGAGCTGGGTAATGCACCCCCCATCAGAATGACTCGACCAGGTCCGATGAACGATTTTCCATACACCTGGCGGATTGTACCCTTTTTCGAGCTTTGCTACGCGGTGATTTCAGAGATGTGCCCTCAAACCAGGATCTCACGCCGTAGCTGGTGACAGTCAGGGGTGGCCTCTACATATCGCCACCCACAGTTTAGTCCATTGTCTTGGTGTGTGCGATGATCTCTTGCGACGTGACTGCAACATCTTTTGCCGCCGCCAGGGGATATGGGGAGCGGGTCAGGGCGAAGGGGCCTTGAAGGAGGAGGCGGAAAATGAGGAGGAGGAAGAGGAGCAGGCGGAGGAGGAGGAGGAGGAGGATGAGGAGGAGGAGGAGGAGGAGGCGGAGGCGGATGAGCAGGTGGGGGGGGGGTGAGGAAGAGGAGGATGATGATGAGGAGGTGGAGGACCAGTGTAAACCCAAGAGTCATCAATGATGTTGGAATTAACCCTCCCTCCAAGCTCCCTTTTCATAGGCCCCTACAACGGTTCATCTCCATTGAGGGTACTGCCTCGTTGGAAGACAGCCGTTAGAAGATCCGGAAGCATGCCAAAACATCGTTCTCGGGATTTCAACGCTACGTATGAACCTGACTGCTGCGTGTTGAAGATCTTGAATCGTGCCATAACGCCATTTTTAGGGTTTCAACACCGCGAAACAACATAACTGTTGCACCCGTATAATCCAGAATCCTTCCAAAACACCATTTCTGGTACGTTGACCATGGGAAACCGCGAAACTTTTGCAGAATGTTAAAACGAATGTGCGCGGCGCTAAGGCGAGAGCCGCATTTTGAAAACGACCCGCCCTCAATTCGTGAATTTTCTGCAAACTCTGAAAGCGAATGCGCGCGGCGCTAAGGCGAGAGCCACATTTTGAAAAACGACCCGCCCTGAATCCGTGACACTCTTGTAAGTTCAGAAAAAAAACAATCAATGTACGCGGCGCTAAGGCGAGAGCCACATTTTCAAAGCGACCCGCCCTTACTCCGTGAAGCTCTTGCATTTTTTGAAAACGAATGTGCGCGGCGTTACGGCGAGAGCCACATTTTGAAAACGACCCGCCCTCAATCCGTGAAGCATGTTGCAAATGTTGAAAGCGAATGTGCGCGGCGCTAAGGCGAGAGCCACATTTCGAAAACGACCCGCCCTCAATCCGTGAAGCTCTTGTAAATTGTTTGAAAAGACGAATGTACGCGGCGCTAAGACGAGAGCCACATTTTGAACACGACCCGCCCTCAACCAGTGAAACTCTTGCAAATGTTGAAAATGAATGTGCGCGGCGCTAAGGCGAGAGCCACATTTTGAAAACGACCCGCCCTCAATCCGTGAAGCTCCTGCGAATTTTGAAAACGACTGTCCCGGCGTTACGGCGAGAGCCACATTTTGAAAACGCCCCACCCTCAATGTTGAAAACTAATGTGCGCGGCGCTAAGGAGGAGGAGGAGGAGGAGGAGGAGGAGGAGGAGGAGGAGGAGGAGGAGGAGGAGGAGGAGGAGGAGGAGGTGGAGGACAAGCTAGGTGCGCGCGCGTCATATCTGACGGCCTACCCCCCTCCCATCCCTTACCATGGCGCTGATTTTCTCTAGGAGGAGGAGGAGGAGGAGGAGGAGGAGGAGAGGAGGAGGAGGAGGAGGCGCGAGGCGGGAGGCGGAGGAGGAGGAGGAGGTGGAGGAGGAGGAGGAGGAGGTGGAAGAGCGAGGAGAGGAGGAGGAGGAGGAGGAGGAGGAGGAGGGAGGAGGAGGAGGAGGAGGAGCGAGGAGGAGGAGGCGGAGGAGGCGGAGGAGGAGCGAGGAGGAGGAGGAGGAGGAGGAGAGGAGGATGAGGAGGAGGAGGGAGGAGGAGGAGGAGGAGGAGGAGGAGGAGGAGGAGGAGGAGGAGGAGGAGGAGGAGGAGGAGCGAGGAGGATCCAGGGAGGTCCCCGCTCGCGCAAGGACTACTACGCGAGCCTCCTGTCGACCTCCGCGGAGAGGAGCGACGAGGCCGTGGCCAAGGACCGCAAGCAGATCAGCAAGGACCTGCCGCGGACCTTCTGCGCGCTGCCGCCCCTGCGCGGTGCCCTGCGCCCGCCCTCCCTCCCGCCCCTGCTCCCTCGCCTTGGCATCTCTCGGGCGCGTGCCTTTTTCTCGGCGAGGGCAGCGCCAGAAGGTCTGGACCATCGTGGAGCACCTTGGGCCATCTCCTCAAGCACGCGCGAAACCAGACAGTGCTCGGGCAACGGGTGTCCGAGCGCGATGGCAATAGTCCCCTCGCCGCTCTTCCCCCGACGTGGGGGGCGCGGGAACTTCAGTCCATGGGCAGCGGGGTCTCCGCTGCTTAAGGCCGGCGGCCAAGTGGGGGTGGTGCCGGTGGCCGTGCCTCGGGGTGGCATCTCGAGGCACCTCGCAACGGCGGCGCAGATGTAACGCCTGGGGCGGGTCTGTGCCGCCGTTCATGTTGCGAGGTCCGACTGCATGTGAACTCATGCAGGCACCTTGGGCACCTCCCTTCGGGTTGTGTCGCCCAGGTGTTCTGTCCGGCGCAATAGGAGACGGAGGGGAAAAGTAGATAAGGGGGTAGCGGATGGGAAGATGAGGTGGAGTGGGATGAGGGTGGAAGACGAGGGTGAGGAGGAAGTGGAGGGGGGAGGAGGAGGAGGAGGTGGAGGAGGAGGATGGAGAGGAGGAGGAGTTGGAGGGTGAGTAGGAGTAGGAGTAGGAGTGGGAGTCGGGCTGGTAGTAGTAGTAGTAGTAGTAGTAGTAGTAGTTGTTGTTGTTGTTGTAGTAGTAATGGTAGAAGTAGTAGTAGTAGTAGTAGTAGTAGTAGTAGTAGTAGTAGTAGCCGTAGTAGTAATCGTAATACTAGTAGTAGTAGTAGTAGTAGTGGTAGCAGTAGTAGTAGTAGTAGTAGTAGTAGTAGTAGTAGTAGTAGTAGGAGTAGGAGTAGTAGTAGTAGCCGTAGTATTAGTAGTAGTATTAGTAGCAGCAGTCGTCGTACTCGTACAATAGTAGCAGTAGCAGTCGTAGTAGTCGTAGTAGTCGTAGTACTCGTAGTAGTAGTAGTAGTAGTAGTAGTAGTAGTAATCGTAGTAGTAGTCGTCGTCGTCGTAGTAGTAGTAGTAATACTTGTAGTCGTAGTAGTCGTCGTAGTAGTAGTCGTCGTCGTAGTAGTAGTGGTAGTGGTAGCAGTAGTAGTAGTAGTAGTAGTAGTAGTAGTAGTAGTAGTAGTAGTAGTAGTAGTAGTAGTAGTAGTAGTAGTAGTAGTAGTAGTAGTAGTAGTAGTAGTAGTAGTAGTAGTAGTAGTAGTAGTAGTAGTAGTAGTAGTAGTAGTAGTAGTAGTAGTAGTAGTAGTAGTGGAGTGGTAGTAGTAGTAGTAGTAGTAGTAGTAGTAGTAGTAGTAGTAATCGTAGTAATGATAGTAGTGGTAGTAGTAGTAGTAGTAGTAGTAGTCGTAGTCGTAGTCGTAGT